CACAACAGCATCCTTTGCTACTGTATCTAATCTCCTCCAAAGCTTTTCTTTTTTTTTTTTTCTGGAGGGAGCAGTTGACAGCTCTATGAATTCCTACCCTGTACAGACATTTCAGTGCAGGCATGAGCTCAATCCACCACACTACCCTTTTCCTGCATCAGCCACAGAGCTAGGGGCTCTGAAAGCAATCAATATACTTGTGAGGCCATTGTTCTATTCCTGGGTGGGAAAAGGTATGGCATGGGATGTGGAAAAGAGGTAGATTTTAATTAAGTGGCATTAATGGAGGTCACAGAGCCTGATAAATTACCATCTTAATTATCCAAATTATTCAAACTCCCACTCTATTCATTAAGAATATATTAAACAAAAACCATCAAAATTAAATAATGGTGGCAGAGCTGAGGATATTATGTTCAGTTCTATAATAGGAAGAAACAGTCATACTTTTTACAATGCTCTTCCTAAAATAAGTCAGGAATAATTTAAGAAAAATATCCTTGAAGTTCTTGGGGAGGAAGAATGAGGATATTTGGTTGTCCCAGGTGCATGAGAACAGTGTACTGTACAATGATTAAGAATGGGAAAGAACCATACAGCATGACTGAAACAGAAGAATAAGAGATGAGACAGACTAAGAGAGGAAATCTATCACTGCTCTTTTAATATTTTCATCTCAATAATAAAGCTAGGAAATTAAAATAGCAATAGTTCAATTTTTTAAGAAACATAAAACATACCGATATCACATCATAATAACAGTGCACTAAGACAGTACTAAATTTTGGAGTTTATCCTTTCTTCCAAAAAAAGGAATTAGTCGCCCATTAACTAGACATCATATGGTAACTGGGAAGCTTCCTTAAGTACCAGCAACTGGTCCAAAAGATGAAAACTCATAATTCATTTGTATAATGTCTTAAGTGATAAAAAGTCTCTCACTACTCTGTATCGGCTGCTCTGCCTGGTTTCAACTCCACCAAACAAGATGCTACTGTTGACCCCTCTCCAGGTACCTCAGGCTCTCTCTCCCCGACGTCCTCCACTCTGCTCTCCTGCCTCATTTTGTGTGTTGTTTCCCCCAGATTGTGAGTTCCTTGAGGGCAGGGACTGTCTTTCTTTTCTTTATTGCATCCCTAGCACTTAGCACAGTGCCAGGCCCTTAATAAATGTTTGTTGAATTGTATTGGATAGATTGGACAATGTATATCCCAAAACAACACTGTCTAGACACAAAGTTTAATGAAAATACAAAGTTATGGATGGAAACTGATACATAAGCAGGAAGAACTGATGTTCAAAACTTAATGATCAACGAATTCTTTTCCTTTAAATATTTCTAACATCAGCATGTTTTGTTTTGCTTAAATTATAAAGGGATCTCAACACTTGATGGAATAAGTGTAAGCTTATTCAAAGGCTTTTTTGAAAAAAAATCCATTTCTCATACATATTACATATATGTGTGTGTATGTATATATACATACATACATATATAGCAAAAACTTTGCTGCAATTTAGTAATTTGAATAAGGTAAAGCTGTACTCCTCTTCTGTAAACAATGAGTATTCCTACATTCTGACTCCACAGAAATATGAAGTCAATTCATCACAAAACAATTCAAATGCCTTAAAAAGGAATCATTAGCAGTTAAATACTATTCATATTTTCCATTTAATTTATATGTGATCATAAAAATTATTTAGCATTATACTGGTACTAGAAAAAATACAGTGTATTATATGCAAAAATTAAACAGAATATTTTGAAGAAATCTACTATACCTTATGTACCTCTATTTTTGCAAATAGACTTTACCTTTTCACTTTTTAAAGATCCTTAAAAAAAACCTGTAGATAGTTTTTACTGTTTTTTAACCTAGGCCTACAAAACTCCTACTGGCCTACAATCAAAAAAAAAATGTTATTAGGTAGTGCGAAACATTTGGGATACAAGGATAAAAACAAAACAATCCCTGTCCTCACAGAGCTTACATTCTATCAGAGGAAACAACATAAATACAAAATGAACAGAAAGTTGTGTTCTTTTTTTTTTCCTTTTGCAGGGGAGAGACTAACAGCACAGGAGGGGGAGAAATCAGGCAAGGGCTCATGTAGGAGGTGACAACTGAACTGAGTTTGAAAGGAAGAGCTAGGAGATTCTAAAAGATGGAGGTGAGGGGCTAAATTCAGGCACAGAAGATAGATGATTTGTACAAAGGCACAGACACAGGAGAGGGAGTATTATCTATGACAAAAATCAGGCCAGTTTTGTTGTTGTTCAATCGTTTCAGTCGTATCCAACTCTTCGTGGCACCATTGGGGGTTTTCTTGGCAAAAATACTTCAGTGGTTTGCCATTTCCTTCTCCAGCTCATTTTATGGATGAGAAAACTGAAGCAAACAAGGTGAAGTGACTTGCCCAGGGTCACACAGCTAGGCCAGATCTGAACTCAGGGAAATGAGTTGGTTTGGCTGAACCATAAAGCATATAAATGAGAGTATTATATAATAAGCTATATTGAAAAGGGCTTTAAATGCCAGAGCAGTTTGTACAAGATCTTAGAGGTAATAGAGAGTCACTAGAGTTCACTGGGAAGGGAATGACATAGTCGTGTTGTTTTTCAGTTGTGTCTGATTCTCAATGACCCCATTTGGTGTTTTCTTAGCAAAGATACCGGAGTGGTTTGCCATTTCCTTCTCCAATTCATTTTACAGATGAGGAAACTGAGGCAAACAGGGTTAAGTGACCTGCCCAAAGTCATACAGCTAGTAAATGTCTGAGGCCCCACTTGAACTCAGGAAGATGAGTCTTTCTGATGCCAGGCTCAGCACTCTATCCACTGTGTCATGTAACTGCCTATTAACCATATCTATGTCTTTTTAAGAATATCATTCTGGCTCCCATATGTTGAATGGATTTGGGGAGTGAGAGACTTGAGATCTGGAGACCAAGCAGGAAGGATACTGTCAAAGTCCAAGACAAAGGAAATAAGTGCCTGAAGTAGGGTGATCGTGATGTGAGTAGAAAGAAGGGAACAGATGGTAGAGATGCTGTAGAAATAGAATGATCAAGCTTTGGCATTCTTAGAAATGTGGATGAATGAGGGTAAGAGCCAAAGAGGCCTCCATGATTCTGAACCGGATTACTAAAAAGGTGATGGTACCCTCAACATAAATAAAGAAGTTTAGAAGAGAGAGATGTTAGAAGTATAGCCATGGAATATGCTGGGAATAATGGGAACTGTTGAGTTTTAGATGTCTATTGGACATCCAGTTAAAGTGTTGTAGGACTAAAGCTTAGGAGAGAGACCAGGGTCACACTGACAAACTTGGAAGATATTTGCATAGAGATGACTACTGAACCAGTGAGTGTCGAGAGAGCCTAAAGAGAGAAAAGAAAGCCCAAGACAAAGGTTGGGAGGACATCCATTTTTACGGGGCAGGATTTGTATAACGATCTAGCAAAGAAACTTAGGAGAGGTCATATAAGTAGGAGGAGAATCAAGATAGAATAGTGTCACAAAAATCGAAGGAGGAGATGGTATCCAGGAGGTAAGGGTGGTAAACAATGTCAAATGCTGCAAAGAAGTTAAGAAAGATGAGGATTTTAAAAAAAAGTCCTCAGATTTGGCAATTAAGAAATCAATAGTAATTTTGAAAATAGCAATTTCAGTTGAAAAATGAAGTCAGAAGCCAGACTGCAAAGACTTAAGTGAAAAAGAGAAGAACTGAAAGGCAAGGAACATAGAGAGCTTTCTCCAGGGATCCTGGCTGTGAAAGGAGAGACATTGGCTAGTGGCTTGAAGGAATAACAGGAATCAAATGAAAGGGGATTTTTCACTTTCTTATTTAAGAGTATGGAAACCTGTACAGTTTCCAGACTGCAACAAGAAAGAAGTAGCAAGTTAAGAAGAGCTTAAAGATTAGCTAGAGGAGATGATTTTAGAAGCAGTCTAGCAGAGGAAATAGAAGGGAATGGTTTGGAGGTGCTGATAATGGAAAGAGAAGAGTAATCTCAGAGAACAATAAAGGAGGAGAAAATAGAGAACATAAAAGAGTTTTTAGATGAAAAGAAGGCTCAAAGCCAAGTGGTTTCTGGTTTCACAGTACAGTGTGAGGCTAGATCTTTTACTAAGAGAATGGGAAGACAGTAATTATAGAGGTTTGAGGAAGAAACAAGTTTAGAGTGAGGAGAGGGAGAATCAATTAGAAAGGACAAATATATTGAAAATATTAATTAGTCCTTCTCATATAAACAGGCTTCCAAGAAATGATATATCTGTTGTAAAGAAAAAAATAATAACCCATTAGAGAAAAGTACTTAAGCACAGAAGTTATACTTTCCATTTTAATCTCAATTTTACTTGGCCTTTTCTTTTTTCTGAAGGCCCAGCTTTATTTTTAAGCTCCTAGGTCACTGTTAAATTTGCACCAAAATGTTAGTTTAGTTTTCTGAATGTTTAACTCCTTGAACTATTAAAAGATTTTTTTTATGCATTTTGCTTACTGTGCTAAATTAGCCCTTTTTGTTCATGAAATCACACTAATTATTTTTTTATTATATCCTTAACATAATTCTTTCAGGCTCTATTTTTCCCATTACATTGATAATAGATGTATAAATAATTTCTTGATGTTGCTTTTATGAATGTTTCTCTTCCTGAAAAATTTTGCTCTTTTAACATAGTGCAAGTATACCTAATTTTTATAGTTTTGAGTATCTGTTTAGCTAAGTAAACTCTTTAGATTATTGAAACATGCAACAGTAAAAGCACTATGCTTTTTAATCATCCACAAAATATGAGTTAGATAATTAAAATGAAAGCTCAATATACACACATTGTAAATATTAAACATCTAAAAATGGAAACAAACCAAAACGCAAACTTTTTCATCATTACCAAAGCATTCTCTTCCAAACAAGCACAAAACTGTCAGACTTGTGTTTTGCCATAAACAAACATCTGCCAAATTTAAATATTAAAAGATTTACTATACCGAAACTATTAGGGGATTCAGTTGATGTCGCCTGCTTCACTCGCTGCATAAGAGCAATCTCAGGTTTGGGATATCTGTGTGCTAAAAATATTTTCAAAACAAATAGTTTTTATATGTCACCTAATATTTGCCTTTACTCTGAATTACCATTATTTGTTAGCAGCAAAATAATAAATGTAATACACCAAATACACTCAGAAAAAGAAATACTATTTTTTTAAAAATATAGTATGTGTATTTTTCCACATATATTCATATTTCGGAAAAGGTAAAAAAGGAATGGACTTTTTCCCCCTCAAAACAAAGATAGGTTTCATCTAAACTCAGTTCAGTAAACTAAAGTGTCTGACAAACAATGGCTGTCAAAAAGAGAATACACCTCACAAGGCTCAGGAACAGAATCCTGCTAAATTACTAAATTAGTACTGCTAAATTAGTTTATATACATCTTCAACCAATGATATGGGGATTCATCAGGGATACAACCCACTACTACACCATGCCCTTAGGTGATCTAGACCTGGGAGTACGTGTAAAGTTTAGATACAACAAAGCCTCAGTTCACATGAAGAGCAAAGTCTAAGAGGGTATAAGAAACTAAAAAATATAGCTATGACATGTAATATTATATGATACATGCCCTAGGAGGTTAAAGCAAAAAAAATGCTAATGAAGTCTTATGAATTAATTCAATAGACTAGTCATCCAAGTGCACATCATAATCTAGACATCAGAGATTTGTGATCCATTCGTTTTTGGGTTTTTTTCCCTATATTGGTTATTATACTGATCTACTGAGGAGACACAGTCTCACTAACAAAGTCCAGTACTATTCTGGGGCTTAATGCAATCAGGAAAACGTCATCTGTAAACAGAAATGTAACAGACTTCACCATTTTTTGGGCATATGACTTGCATTTGAATTCTGTGCGAAACATCCTCTACAAATGTTGTGATCACTTCTATATAACATGTTAATCAGGGATTCTTAACTTTTCTGTGTCATTGGACCCCTTTGGCAATCTGGTTAAGTGTATGCATCTCTTCTCAGAATAAATTTTAAAATTCATAAAACAAAATACATAGGATGACAAAGGAACCAAGTGGACTGAAATACAATTATCAAAATTTTTTTTAAAATATGTTCACAGACCCCAGGTTAAGAACCCGTGATATAAATGAACAGGGAGTGGTTGAACAGTTCTCCCTCTGGCAGCATTTATTAAGGAATCTTACATATGACCTTAACATGTGCAGAAGACACTCCTTGTATTTGAGGAAGGCTTTAAGGCTACATATTTTTAATGAATTAAATTACACAAAAAAATCAAAACGCAACAAAGCAGAACTGTATATTCTCTACACCTTTCAGTTAACCATGCAATTGAGCCAGTGTAGGCTTTTGTTTCATCATTTGTAGAAGCCTCTTTCTTTTGTTACCATAATTTCACCGAGGTCAGTTATTTTTTACAGATTTCATAAGGCTGAGAAATTAGCGTGTATGACTTAGTAGTTATGTCCTCCATCACCTTTCCTAGATAATAATACCATTCATGATTTTTTTCTGTTCCTTTACTCCATTAAAATAAATAAATACCATATCAGCATCTCTATATGAGGGGCAGCTAGGTGGTGCAGTGGATACAGCACCAAGCTTGAAGTCAGAAACACCTGAGTTCAAATCCAATCTCAGACACCTACTAGCTGTGAAATCCTGGGCAAGTCACTCAACCCTGTTTGTCTCAGTTTCCCCATCTGTAAAATGAGCTGGAGAAGGAAATGACAAACCACTCCATTATCTTTGCCAAGAAAACCCCAAAGGTAGTCACCAAGAGTCGAACATGACTGAACAACAGCTCTATTATGAGGGATACTTACATCAATGGGATCAGATATGCCCTAAATTATGCAGAGTTTGAAGGAGATCTTTAACAACCACTCCATCTCCCCTCTCTTTGTGCATTCCTGGAACATGCTCTTTCCTTATTCCCACCTTTCAGAATCCTTATCTTCTTTCATGTTCCATCTTAGGTTCTAGCTCTCCTATGAAAACTTTCCCTAATCCCTACAGTTATTAGTCTCTCCCCCCTCAAATTATCTCTTATTTATTTTTTGGTTTATATGTTGTATCCTCTCAGTTGAGAACTAAGACTGTTTCATTTTTATTTATATTTCTGTCCTTAATGCATACACAGTGCCTTCCATATAGCAGAAACATAATAAAGGTTTTTCAACTGAAGAAAATGAAGGAGAGAGGCAGACAGAGAAGAGATAGGAAGATATTAAAGAAGTATCATTTTTTTGCCCAGGAATTCAACAAGTGAAAATAGAGGAATGAGGGCAATCCAAGTATATGTAACAGAGAGCGCAAAGGCATGGAGACACAAATAAGTGCATTTATGTGTGTTCAGGGGGTAAAGAATAGTCCAGTGAGCTGGAATGAAAGGGCATCCAGAGGAATAATATGAAAAAATGCTGGAAAAGTGGGTTGGTGCTATCCACATCCAGAGAAAGAACTATGGAGTCTGAATGCAGATCAAAGAATACTATTTTAAGGGGGTTTTTTTCTTTCTAGTGGTTTTTCCCTTTGTTCTGATTATTCTTTCACAACATGAGTAATGTGGAAATATGATTAATATGATTGTACACATATAATCTATATCAGATTGCTTGCTGTCTTGGGAAGAGGGGTGGAGGAGGGAGGGAGGCAGAAAAATTTCGAACTCAAAATCTTATAAAAACGAATGTTGAAAACTATCTTTACAAGTAATTGGGGAAAAATAAAATACTAATAAGTAGAAAAGTTTTTAAAAAAGAAGTGGGTTGGCACAAGATTCTAAAGAGTCATGAATGCAAGACAGTTAAGTCTAAACTTTTCTTTGTGGCAATATGGCATCGCTAAAGATTTATGAGCAGAGAAAAGACATGACCAGACAGATCTACAGATCTATGAATAAGGAAAATTACTCTGACAGTGGTGGAAAAATGGACTATAAGTGGGGAGAAGGAGTTAAAGGAGTTGAGAGTTGGGAGGACCTTTAAGGACTATTACAACAGTCAAAGGAAGTGTCAACAAGAGCCTCTACCACAGTGCTAGCAGTGGGTATAGATAGGAGGGGAACAGATGCAATAGATGTTATGGAGGTAGAATCAACAAGACTTGATAACTGATTTGAAAATGATCAATGAGAGGAAATGCAACAGACAAAGATAACCAAAGGATATTGAGAATCACATCGGAGTTCTAAAAATACAATATATAACAAAGGGTACCTGCCTTCAATAAGTTTGCTGTCTAGTTAAACAATGCTAAAATATATGAACCAAAGAATTAAATTATTTATTAAAAAAATAACCCCCTTTCCCCAGAAATAATTCCTTTAATAATATATTCTGTTTCCAGGAATCCAAGCAAGATAAGCTCACCAATCTATAGCATGAAAGCCTCAATCTTATTCCTCAAACTGGAGTATTTAGCCATGTCTAATTTAAAAAAAAAAAAACATATATCAAGCACCTGCTAGGTGTAAAGCACTATCCTGAAGAATATCTGCCATTCCATGAGTTTTCATATATCACTAATAGCAGCTCACCAATCACAGGTACCAATTCTTTCAGTACTGAGATCTGAGATCTTTAATTCATTAACAACACCAAGCACTTTCTTACCATCTTCCACATTTATCTTTGGTTTCAGGTCCCCAATTACTATTCACTATCTTTCCCAATCCAAAGAGTTTTCCTTGGGTAAGAAAACTGAACCAGATCATAAGTAATTATTCTTTCTTTTTGTCATCTACTATTATCATTCCTACTCTCCTAAATAATGGTTCTCTCTCTTCTCTGAGCTTCCTGCCTCCAATGGAGTCCAGGCAAAAGCTAAGGCTGAGGTGCTAGCTGGAAATGCAGGTGAACATGTCTAGCAGCAACTGGAACTCAGGTGATGAAATGGGGTTTGATATATGTGTATGTGGAGAATGTAGACATTCTACACAAAGAAGTGATAACTAAAGCCATAAAACTGCCAAGGAAAAAGAACAGAGAAAGAAATGAGAGCTAAAGACAGTTTAAGGAACATCCACTTCCAAAAGTGAAAAGAGGAAGACAAACCAGTAAAGAAGACTAACTATAAGCAGTATAGGGGTTCTTCAAACCACACTTCCTTATTCTTCCTTCTCAGGCTCCTTTACTGGATCGTCATCCAGGTCACATCCCCTAACTATGGGTATCCCCTAAAATTCTCTTCTCTTCTCCCTCTATACTGTCTGGTTTGGTGATCTCATCAGTTCCCACATATTCTCAACTCCCATGCAATTATCAACTCTATACAGATGCTTCTCAGATCTATTTGTCTAGCCCAGGTGTGGGGAACTCATGGCCTTAAAGCCACATGTGGCCTTCTAAATCCTTAAGTGTGGCCTTTTGACTGAATCCAAATTTTACCCATTTTACACTGAAATGACATAGTGGATATCTCAAATCGGATGACCCATAAACATCTTAGACTCAATATATGCAAAACTGATTATTTACCCAAAAAACCCATTACTCCCTCCCCAAAAAAACTTTCCCCTCTTCCCAACTTCCACATTGCTGTGGAGGACACCACCATTCTCCAGGCACCCAGGCTCAACTTTCATTCAACCTACATATTCAATCTATTCCCTGAATCCTGTCATTTCTGCCTTTGCAACATCTCTTATATACACCCCCCTCTCTCCTCTGACACAGCATTAACCACACTGGTCTAAGTCCTCTTCAGCTCATGCCTAGACTATTACAATGGCCTTCCAATTGGTCCTCTCACCTCAAGACTCTTTCCACTTCAGTCGATCCAACCACTCAGCTCTCAAGATGATCTTCCCCAGGTCTGACTATGCCATTTCCCTATTCAATAAACTTCAATTGCTCTCAATTACCTCCAGCATCAAACCTACAATCCTCTGTTTGGCTTTTAACACACTAACGTGACCCCTGCCTACCCTTCCAGCCTTTTTACAATTTCCTCTCTTCCACAGACTCTATCGGCAACACTAGTCTTCTTGCTGTTTCTTGCATAAGACACTTCATATCCCAACTTC